TTGGTTCTATGAACTAGAGAAGATAATTATTAAGACTCCATAACAAAGGTGTGTAATACAATTTTGTCAATTAAACTATTCTTGTCCAACGTTCTAAATTTTCTTTTGGTATAAACATTTTAAATATGTCTCACCTCCAAAAGAGAGAATTCGTGAAGCTCAGTTAGACACTTAGTCCCTGTTTGACCCAATTTTAAAAACTCATTTGTCACTAAACTCATTTTCAATTATATATTTATGGAATCCGTAACTTTTATCAACTTTTCAATTATATATTTAATCAATTATTCAACATACAATTCATCAACTTTTATCATATTCTAGTAAAAAATTATTTTTTAAAGAAACCAACTATGGGCTTAGTTCTTGTCTAAGAAAGCTTAAAAATTGCTAAACATTTGAGGTCAAAATTAACAATCAGTTTTAATCACAGATTTTATAGGATCCATAATTTTTATTAACTTTTCAACCACATTTTATCAAAATTTACTAATTAAGCTCCATTTTTTGAAAGAATGGACTTTATAATAGTGAATTTTTGGAGAAAGTGTGGTTAAAAAATAGGAAAAATTTTAAATTTATGCGTAAAATTACTTTATTTGAAGAATGTGTAGTTGAAAATAAGTATGAAGAAAAATGGGTTTTCATATAATGAGGCTCAAACAAGGGCTTAAGACTTTTATCGAAAGTTTTGTCAAACAAATCCTTAAATATATGAAACGTCGCGGTCTAAAACTTAGAATACTTTCGTAGTTTACTAAAACGAATAACGAACAAATGTTTAACGTCCTTGAATCCTATTACAAGACCTTGAGGCTAAAGGTAAATACATGAAGTGACAAATGCATGAAGTTTTTCGTTTATTGGCTGGAAGCATTAGAAAGTATTAGATATTCCTTTGGTAAAATATACTTTACATGTAAAGACGACTTAAAAAGACCATATATATTTATGTAGAAGTAATAATTATGTAGGTTCATGTTCTTTCACGTGGGAGAAAAATCTTCTTCGGATCTTTGTACTGTTCTAAACAAGGACAATCATATAATGGACATTCACAAGTAAGAGTAATTAATGTAATAAATAAATAAAATAAAAATTGTATGAGATAATTCTTTTCAAATTTTGACTTGAGATCTAACAATCATTCAATAAAATATGTATATTGTATACTTTATTGAGGTAGAAAATTATTTGAACCTCTAAGTCAAGATCCGAGTTAAGTTAGAATTAATTGAACTTCTAAGTCAAGATTTGAGTTAAGTTAAGGATCTATTTGATTGCAATGGTGAAAAATAGGTGGAAAGAAAATGAATTTCAGAAAAAACAATTGCCTAAAAATTATTTTGCAGGAATTGTTAATTAAGTGTGTTTGATTGGTATAATTTTCACCCTAAAAATTCTAAAATTTTATGTCCGTTTGACTTTATTTTACATGAAAATTGTCCATTAAAGTGATAATTTTTTTCACAATTGGTTATAAAATTTGTTTCCATTATCAAAAAGTAAAGAAAATGAAAAAAAGAAAAAAAAATGGTTTCCTAAAAAATCATTTTTTTTAATCAAAATTTAGTGTTGGTTTGACTTTGTTTTATATGAAAATTGTCTATTAAAAATGAATTTTTTTTTACAATTAGTTATAAAATTTGTTCCAATTGCCAAAAAAAAAATTGTGGAAATCAGTTTTCCCACCAAAATGGTGGGAAATATATACATGCATAGCATTATATGAAGGAAAATTTGAANTTTCCCACATTTTTGGTGGGAAAATGAATTCCCCAAAATCAAGCAAAAGAGGCGCGTGAGCCTCTCCCCAAGAAAATGTTTTGCCAGCAGAATTTTGCACATCAAACACCTCTTTTGGTTGGAAAAGGAAATGAAATTCCAAATTTCAAGGAAAATAAAGCAAATTAAACAGGGCCTAAAATTAATTGAACCTGTAAATCAATATTCGAGTTAAATTTCTGTAACAAAGAAATTTGGTGATATGCCAGTTCAACCTTCCCATATTCGAGAATGAAGTTGTGGACTATCACCCTAAATTTGAACTTTGAATGAAAAATAACGTATAATATGGTTTCAAGTTGGACGGGCACTTATTTATGAAGATTTCACATGAGTATATTAGGCGTGATTCAAAAATAATTTGAATTGCAAGTGAGGGATTTCTTTCTAAGATAATGTAGTTCAAAGACCGTTATTTTATTTATTTATTTATTTATTTATTTTTTGAGGATAGCAGTTCAAACTTCAAATATTTTAATTGCTAGTTGATATAAATAAAACTGTATCAACAAACAACACTTATTTTCAATCAATCGATATTGTCAATAGACCATCTATGTATTTATATTAGAGGTGTCAAGACGGACGGACCAGCCGATCCGTGAAAATCGGCCCGGATCGACCCAGACCACGAGCCGACCCGTAACTCGAGCGGGCAGTTCATGGGTCAAGGAGGTATAACCAGTAGGCTTCGCGGGTTGCACCTTCACGGACTGTGGTTAACCCGCTGACCCGTGAAAAAAAATTTGAAAAAAAGTGGAAGAGAGAGCAAAATAAAATTATTGATGATATTGCTGAAAATTTCAAAAATCTTGCAGTTCCTGAAAATTAATTGGAAAACAAATATTAAATATATAATTTTTGAACAACTCAATTATAGTTAAGATTTAAGTTGGTGTCAACCTAATTGAGATGTAATTAAACAATAAATTATAATAAAAGTAGGTGCCAACCTAGTTGGGATGTACTTATGCTATAAATATTTGATAATAGTACTTAGAAATACATTTAGTTGTTATTTGTTTAAGTTAAATTTAACTTTGCAAAATTATAAATAATTCACGTAACATTAAATTTGAATTTTATGTAAACATTCTTTGGTATAAATATAAATTTATCTTTTATTCAATTCTTAGTTTACATTTAACAAAAAAAATATTTTTTGCTATAAATATAAAAAATTCTTTATTTTTATAATTTTATTATACAATAATACGGGCCAAATCGGAACAAACCGCGACCCGCATGGGGTCGACCTAGATGGGTCAGCGGGTTGGCTTGGGTTGTAGTCCAAAATTTGTTAGCCAACTTGGAACCGACTTGGAACCCGTAGCGGGCAGACTTTTTTTCACGCGGGCCATTACTGGGCTCATATGTTGACATACAGACCCGACCCGGACCCCTCGGATTAACACCTTTAATTTATATACTTATTTTCTAAATAAACACTTGAAGATTTTCATGAAGTACTCCAAAGGGTAAAACAAGAAAAAAAAAAGTACTCTTTTCCAGCCCTTTATGTCACAAAAACTGCTTGTACTATGTTCCGCTCCATGTTTGGCTAAGCTCTAAAAAAGAACTTGTATGTACATTGTTGACCTAAAAAAATGCGCTAACAGAATCCTTTCCACCTCCCTTCCACGTAGACATCACATATACACTGGAACACCCCATTAGGAAGCAAAGGTCACCAAAATCAAGGAGAGTTGTCCCAACCCTTGCCTCGTTACTTAGTAGATGAAAATGATTCTAATGGACCATGCCGATCCTATGAGCTCGACGGCGATGAAGACAAACTTCCCTTCTCCAAAGAACTCCGTAGTTTTCCCATGCCTCATAATTTCGGTTCTCCTAAAATTCTTAAATATGAGGGAAAATGTGAAGCCGAGAAACACCTCTATAAATATGAAACACGGATGAGTCCCAGAGGCACATCATCGGCTTTGAAGTGCAGGACTTTTCACTTAACATTGGGTGGAGCAGCTGAAGTGTAGTATGGCAAGTTAACAACACTCAGCATTAGAAACTGACCCGACCTCAAAAAGGCAGTTTTGAACCAATATTTGTCTAAAAAAAAGTGAGAGACACCGATCCAGCACCTCTAGATATGAGGAAAGCAGCAAGGGAAACGCTGAAAAATTACCTATCTCATTTCACTACTAAAATAACTTAATTGCGAACAAGTTACAGACAAAGAAGCCCTCTCAGCTTTGAAAGGAGGACTAAATATGAACACGCTATTTTGGAGAGACAACCGAGCAAAAACCCTACTATTTATGATGAGCTGATAGAAATGATGAGAATTGAGATTGTCAATGAAGAGATGATTGACTATCGAAATGGGGCATTATATGAATATTCGTACTTGGACTTTGGGGGACTATTATTATACTTATAAATTACGTGGTATCGACTATTCATTGGATTGAGCTTATTAAACAGTTTGCATCTTGGATTTGGTCCATTACCCACGTTGCCCATTTACATTTCACTAAATATATGTGATTCATTTCAAAAATGAGGTATGATTTTTGATCCTAACCAAATCTCATTTCCTTCTCTTACACTCTCTTTTTCTCTTGTCGGTTGTTGATTTGATCGTCGGAGTGCAAACGGTGGTCGGTCCTTTTTCTCGACTGGTGACATTTACTTCCTAACGAGGTGTTCCACTGTGCAGGCGATGTCTACGTGAATGGGAGGTGGGAGAATTTAGTTGGCACATTTTTTGAGGTCAACACACATAATTCTTAAATTTAAATAAACAATTTTAATTATAATCCAAACACGATCCGGGGCAAACAAGATTATACCAGAAAAGGGAGCATCTTAACTTGCTTAAAGGTTTATCAAATACCCAAAATCATTTTGGACTGATTGCAAGAACTACAGTATATAATTAACAGGAATGTACTTTCTCTCTCTCTTATCTAGGACGAAATAATCTCATTTAATGTAAACCAACCATACATAGAGACTAGAGAGTGACCATATATCACCATAGTATATGTTTCAACAGACGAACACTCATTCTATACCAAATAATTTCACTTCTCGAAATACATATTTTTCGTAATATATACTCACAGAGTAATGGCTCGTCTTTAGAAATGAAACGAGCATTGGAAGATGCACAAGCATCATAACGACGCTTCATATGTAATGTCATAATATGTAGGAATAATAGGCGATAAACCCTAACATAAACGTACAAGACCTTACATGCTACCATTTCCACCATTTTCAGGGCTGTTAGAATCATTATTCCATTGAGAAGGATATGTGATGGGGTAACCAGAATTCGGATCAAAAGAACCTCCTCCTCGACCCATTCTCCCAAACTGTGCAGTCATCTGATTCAGAAAGCCTGTTCCCGGATACGAGGTATCACTACCCGTATATCGCATTAGATCAGCATTTGTAGCATCCAATTCCTTTTGAAGATGAAGAACTTGCCTTTGAAGAACAGATATTGCTCCAACACAGCCGTATACAGGATCTTTTAACCGGGCCTCGGCTTCATAAGCAAGAGAATTCACTGCATCTTCTCTTTGATGAGGAAGGATTTCATTGAGCAGTTTACTTACATTGCTTGCACCAAATATTTTGTGTACATTGGCAAATTTTTGGGGTTCCTCAGGAGGAAAATATGGAGCAAATATGCAACCTGGCAGGCATTTTCTTCTCAAGAATTTGCAGGCTGCACATGGAGGGTTGGAATAGCTAGAAGAAGAAGAAGCCATTTTTCCTGCAATTTAATTAATATTTCCCTGAGATAAATCAACCAGAAAAATTGTGTATTATTGAAAGAATTGAGATTAGATCAATTCAAATGGTGAAATAGTTAACTCATAAGTACATATTTTGAAGTCAACTACAAAATAGTTAGTGATCATGAATGATTAATTAGGGAAGCAATATAAATCCTCTAATCGAAGACTAAGTTTAAACATATAATTATTTAGGTAGTTCAAGTTGATAGAATAGCAAATAAAGACGCTAAATATAGCCTTACAACCCGTTTTATGACTTTTTATGAACATATAGGATGTTTGATCAAAAATGAATTTGGTCGGTACTTTTTCGAATAAACCAATTCAATTGGGACCCTACGGATCCGTTCTTTACTTTTCCTATTCAACGATTAGCCTCTGGCACGGTTTTCACATAGATGAAGAGATACATTGAAAATTTCGAAATAAATAAATATGTCCCTCAGTAATACAAATAACTAAGGAATTCTCATAATTAATCTTGGTTGAGCAAGAAAATTTCTAAAATAATATTTTCTTCTTTTACTGTTTCCTTCATTTAAATTAGTTATAAAATTATTTAGACCTGCATGAGCTAATAGGAATTATTTTCAATACTCATAAACATGAAAATTTGAGGAAGGAAAACAGCAAGGGAATACATTTACATAAAATTACTTCATCATAATATTCTTGAAGGCCTTCCTGAACAAGAAGAACAAGAATAGAAGTTTGAAATTGATCAGAATTTTTCGTATCGCCTAATTTTCTCAAGGCCATGAACTCTGCACCATAATTCTTTGTAAATGGATAGCATTGATCAAGACTTGTTTTACAGTATTCTAAATATGGTGCAGTAACCACCTAATTTAAAAACTTAAACCATTAGAGAGGGATAACAAATTTCTTTATTCGAATTTTGTTTTCAATGGTTCAAATCTAGAAGAATTTTTTCACACTTGAAAGTTCAACTCATGACCACGATCTACCTTGATACCACGTTAAATTACCTCATCGTCTAAATTGTCCTGCAAAACAGAAGCAAATGAATCCTTTTCTATAGGGGTGGGAAGATGGATCTTAAGGAAAATTTCTGAGTAATCAACATACCTCTTTGATCGATCTTCAAGCAAAACCGAACAGCTAAAAATCTCTCTTTTTCCTGGGGGTGGGGTGGGTGTGAGATACAAAGAAAGGTTTCTTTACTCAAAAAGAAAAGACACTGGTAATAATCAAGAACTTTTCCTACTGAAATCTGTTACAGGTTTTTTCCCCTGATCATTTTAAGGATCCTTTAGCCATTGGTATACAAAAGTTTCTTGAATTTATACTGTCAAAAAAGAAAACCCTAGATGCTATAGAGAGACATGAGCCTGATATATACAGTATAAGGGAATGTGATGAGAGAGAAGGGTGAAGAAATGTAAAGCCAAAGTATCAGGCATATTCAATAGTACTACAATTATTAAACAATGTTGACCAAAATCATGTCTTATATTAATATAAAATAATAAATAATGCCACTAGTAGACATGAACATTTACATGTATTCGGTTTATAATACAAGATATTTATTATAGAAAAGAAGAAACAATAATATCATATTAGGACAGAATTAACTGACTCAGCCGAAAAATTGAGAATTGGTATGAAAATCAGTTCAGTAAAAATTGAAGAACTATTCCGTTTTTAAAACAGTCTAACGATGTGACGCCATGCGGCATGCTATTATCCAGAGTTTAAAATCCTCAGACATTGTAGCAAAATTGAAAAATAGACCCCATCTAAACAACAAAATTGAATTGACCACTTCAACTTCAAAATCGATACGTTCAAAATTAATTAAAAAAGAAAAAAAAGCCATCTTTGGGGTTACCTTGTTCGCAATAAAAACTTGTCAGTTCACAACAATTTTTTTATTTAATATTTTTGCCGCTAATTTTATCACCTTTTATCTTTTTCGAGTCAACAACAACTGAAATTTAAAACAATGAAAATAAATTTATTTATCTTTAGATGTCCGAAAAATATATAAAATATAGGATTATGTTGGTTGGTTTGGATAAGATTTTTTTGACAGATCTCTTGTTTTAATTTCAAGAGCATCAGTAATTGCTTCTTTAATGTTAAATTATATCATCTATAAACTTAACTTTCTAGAAACGTCTAGATTTATTCGTCAACATATCACTCTTATGTATGTGCAAATTTTCAAAAAATGAATTATACACGCGAATTTGATTCAATATTTATGTTTGCTCCAGAAATAGATCGTACCATCTTATCTGAAAATTTAAAATTATAAGTATTAAATAAAGAATGTGTTATTTAAATTTAGTCCATGTTTGATACGCATTCTTTCAAAACTCATTTTCAACCACAAATTCTTCAATAAAATAATATTTTTTTATTACATCAGTAATTTTTTCTTACTTGTTAACCACATATTTCCCATCGTGTTACTATTTAAAATATATTCTTTCCTCAATAATATCCACCAAACACATCCTTAGAGTTGAACAGTTACATCAATAGTATCCTTCATATAATTACTAGGTTCAACAGTCTTTCACAATTTGTCAGTGATAAAGAAACAATTTCATCATAATTTTTCATAGCATTTAATTGTCGGCGTTAAAGATAAATTTAAGTAAATAAATATCTTTTTATATAAATCACCCCTTAATAGTTTAATTTTTCAAACGAGATAGGTCAAGATAAATATCATGAATTCATCCGCACTTTTCATGAAAATGATTCACTCCTTCCTTTGATGAAAAACGAAAGATATAATTTCAATGGCTTGGTTCAACGAGGAGAATCGTGCTGAAAATATGGTGAAGAGGTTTGGTTTGAAAAAAAATTACCAAATCAAACCAAACCATTGCAATTGCAATTTCAATTTCAAACCAAACCACCTTTTGAAGTTCAATTTAGTTTTAAACAAAGGCTTACATAGAGACATAAAAGCAGCATTCTAAAAAGTCCGCTTAAGCAGCTCGTAGGCTCAAGACTCGAGTGAAATGCCGCGCTTTATTTTTTTTAAAAGCCTTTTGTTTGATTTTAGTTTCAAGTTTTTAAATGACTTTATCTATATAAAAGTAAAAAAATGAAAACACGTTAGAAAATTTCAAGTAGGAGTTGTCTAGTTGATTGAAACTATGAAAAATAGTCTAGTTTTTGCATCTCGAAAACTTGAAAGTTATATAATTCATTAATTGTAGAAATCATTAAATAAATATAGTATTTTATAATTTTAGATATTTGATATGTATTATTTTAATTATTAAATAACTTTTAGCATGATTAAAAATAAAAAATAATTTTAAAAATAAGAAAATGAGTCTTTACGCCTAAGCTCGTAAAGTTTGACATTTAACATCCACGTCTGATCACGTTTTACGCTTTGTAGATCACTGCATACCAGTAATGATTATCAAATAAGCTAAAATAATGCTTAAAATGAACTTCCTAACTAAACACATAAATGTCATAATATTAGTTTCAAAATTCTATGAGCCTTGCGATCCATTGAGTAATGCATGAGTTTCAACCTTAATTTCTGGCCCAAATTGAGCAAGGTTTACTATTAATAGAAGTTTAAAGTTAACAAATAACACAAAGTTTAACCATATAACTAACAAAGTTCACTTAATAAATTGGATTTCTTTATGCTAAAGTGGATTTTTTATAATATTTGGTTCGATTTCACTGATTTTTTAAATCTCGAAATCTAAACCAAGTCTTTCTCAGTGTTTTGGTTCTATTTAAATTGACCATTGACCGAGTTCATGTGGATTTAAATCAACGACTTCAAACCAATAATTTGTTTCGAGTTTATGATATAGCGGTTTTTTTCAGCCTAACGAGAAATATCTTTTTTCTTCGTACATGAAAAGACAGCCCAACAAAACAAATTAATTTAGTCTAACAAATCGGTCACCCAACCAATTTTGCTTATTGCATTCGAAGTTGACTACATGAATCATTTTATGATTGTAATTAAAGTCGATTTTTGTTTTCAGAAAATACCCTAAACAGCCATTGTCTATCACTTACATCTTTGTCGACATAATATATACATATGTTCATACTGTTGTAATAAACATTGCGTGCGTATAAATACATATTTCTTTCAAGCCTAAGTCTGCCAGTGTTCATAATAGAATTGAACCATCCAAATGAAAGCCCAGAAATGAATTATCCTTTTACTGTTTGTTCCATTATTGAATCCAGACATGAACAGTTAAATATACAGTATACACATAAGATCAGAATACAGAAAGGATTAATAATAAATGTATGTATCCATCGTTTTCACTTTACTACTTTCTCTTGTTTCTTGCCAACATGTCGACAACTTGCATGTAATGAGTATCTGTCAGAAACATGATATTTTGAGAACTAATACTGTGCAGGGTTGAAAATAATTTTACAAGTTTGTTTGAAAATTAATTGGAGGCTATCATGGTAAATGAGATAGGATTTAAATGCCCGGCACGACCCCATTTTGGAGTGAACCTATACGCGGATTTGAATTTGGTTTGTCTGGTTGAGATTTTACCCGACACGGCAAAAAGTCTTGAGGCTCGACATGACCTATCATATTTAAATTTTTCAAAAAATAAAGAAAATAATATTTATTGTTTATTCAAATCAAAATCTTTGTGCTTGGGACAATGATGCAGCTAGTGAGGTTCTAAAGAAGATGACGCTTCTATTGCTAGTCGAAAACTATTTTCAAACCCCATTTCGGCTTAGGTTCACCCTTGACCTTTGAGAATTTCTAAAAGGGTTATGGTCAAAGTCGGAGTGTTGCCTATTTTAGGGGCTTTATAGTGGATTCGAGCTTAATCGTAAGGGATGCTTAACGAGGATTAGGTGTTAGTAGTGGTTGTTGAACTTCTGAGTCTTTGACTGAAAAATCCTTGTGTTCTTGTTGTTCTTGACGTTTTTCTTAGTTTTTTTTACTTTGGTTTCTTGAGTTACAA